AGCCAGACCTCGATATTCGGTGCTAAATCGCCGTAGTAGGTGTATAATAATATTAATCAGTTATTACCTATTAGTTAATAGATTCAGGGTTATAGGTCCCCCGGTTTATATCCTAGAAAAGCTATAGATTATCCTATACCTCCTTCTTAATAGCGGCCTATTTCTCTTTATCTTTAGGGAGTATAAACCGGGTTAGTCTAATCGGCGTATTCTCCCTATTAATATATCCGGTACTAATCTATCCCGCTAATAGGTAGTAGTAAGCTAGAGCTCTAGCCTCTACCTTTACCTTTATATCGGTTTAAAGGGCTAAGGAGAATACTAGGTCTATAATAGTCTAGAATCCTCCTCTACTATATATCGATTCGCCGGGGTTATTATATAAGGTTAGCCCGTAGTCCTCTATCTATAGAGCGATCTCCTCTCCTCTTCCCGTTATCTATATCACGTCCGGTTCCTAATCTCTAAAGCGGGCGTTAAAATCTCCTCCTATTATAATGTTCGCTAGGGGTTCCTAGCCCGTTAACGAGTCCTAGGTATTAGCCTCTCCGATCCCCCTATACACGTTTAGGAAGTGTATTCCGTTAACTTTTACTAGTAATAGGTCCCTTAATCTCTAACTCGGGGACTCTATCTAGTATACGTTTAGTTCCGCCTTCACGTATATAACCACCCTAGCTAGGCTCCTACCTAGGTTCTAGCTATATTCGTATCGGCGAGAATTTCTTATAGCCCGGCAGGTTTAGTAGTATCCTAACCCGGGCTTCTCCTTTTAGTGGTTCTTAGTATATTAATATATCGAACTTAGCTTAGCCTCTTATGCTATCGCTAGTATAGCTTTAAGCAAGTTACGGTTCTTATCTACATTATATTAAACGTATATTAGGCCCGCCCGGGGTAAGGCTCGCCGGTACCCTCTTTCCCGGTTAGTTCGCCGGTTTATTAATAGCGTCTTCGACGGATATTATAACCGACTTTACCAGTTTATCATTCTATAGCCACGACTATATTATACTAGGCTTCTTACTTATCGCGGTAAGAGGGGTTAGATCCTCCTGGTCTCCCGCCTTCTACTTCCTAGGGGTCTAGGGAGGAGGGATAAGGGCTAGGGGGGGGGGCGTGGAAGTCCTTTTAGTGGCTCCTATCAGGGCACCTTCTTAATAGTCCACGGCCTCCTCCTTAGAGGAGGAGGCGGTATCGACCTCTATATCGGTAACCCCGCTCTAGGTCTCCCCGCTATTACTAGCGTTAGTACCGCTAGCGCCGGAGACGGTAATCGTGCTTCGTAGCTTTACTCGGGCGGTATTACCCTCCGCGCGGAGTTTACTAAGTTTAGACTTTATCGGGGCGATAACCTCGCCGTTAACCCTTTTCGGGCGGGCAGGGTATTTTAGGTCCTTAGCTATATAGGGTCCGTAGCAGTTAATATATCTAACTTCGTAGGTATAGTAGTCTTTTTAACTGGTTCCACCGTATCGTATATATTGGACCTTTCCGTTATAGGCGTATCGGGGGTAGTATCCCTAGTATCTATCGTATTATACGATTAGGCAGCGGTTTTCGCGGTGCCTTAATAATATAAACGTCTTTAATAGTTAAAATCGATATTTCGGTTATAACTAGAACAAGACTACCTCGCTAGATAGCCCGTCTCTGCTTAGTTAGGTGCGCTTATAAACACGTATAGGCTTTACCCCTATCCGTTTTAGAGCTTCCTCGGCAACTAGCTCCTCTATAACCTTAATCTTACCGATAGAATCGACGACCTTATGAATTATATAAGTATACTAGGTCTTAGCCCCTTAGATACTTAGCGCGTATATTACCGAAATAATCTCTTCGCTCGCGTTAAGGATCTTATCAGATGCCACCACACACTTATCGGGGTATGACTTACGCTATTTATGTACTCGGATAAAGTACTTCCGACCGATATATCTATATCGATTTCCCCTCCTTTTACCTTATAGTTAGATATTTCCGCAGAGTATCATTTACTCTTCTTTAATACACACATATATCTTTTACGTACCTTATTAATTAGTATACTAATACTTATAAGCGCGGCGTTCTAATAAATAAAGCTATTCCGATAGATCCTATAGCTTTAAGGCAGTTAAAATAGCCTTAAGTCTATAGCGGTTAGCTTAGTATTATTAGCTATGTCCGCCTACTTTACTATAACCGTTATTCCGTTATTCCGTTAATAAATCGCTTAATTGCCTCTTATTTAATCGCTTAAGCCCTATCTTATTCTATCTCGTTTAATCGCTCCTTATTTAATCGGTCCGTTATAGTCGGCTTTAACAGTTTATTTCCCTATAACCCTAGTTAGTTAGATAATAGCCTTAACTACGGCGTTACCTATAATAGGCTATACGATCCTTATCTTACTAAAAGACTAGCGTTATTAGATTAAGGCTATTATGCAGATAGCCTACGCTAACCAGGTTTCTAACCTTATTGATCCAGACCTTAAGGAATCCAAACGTCCCGAATAGCTCGAATCCTCGGAACCTCTAGAACTAAAAGAAGGTAACGACGATAATACCTAGGATCGTAAGTTTAAGCCATAGAACGTAAAAGAGAATAGATATCAGGTATAGTAATAAGGTCTAGCTACTCTTTACGACTATATCGCGAAGATAGTTAATCCTAACCTTAAAAATTAGTACGTAGGGAAGAAGGAGGTTAAAGATATCCTAATTACCTTAAAGGACTATCTTAAACCTACTAACGCTGTCTAGAAGTCCTTAGTTAAGAAGAGATAGGAAGAATATATATAAAATATACGGAGGATACCCTATAAGCGTTAGCTTTAGGACTTTATATCGCTATACCGAGATTCGAAGACCTATAGCGTTAGGTCCTCTAATACTATAAAGGAGTAACTTAACGTATTTTTTAGGGCTATCGGTACTATAGCTCTAGAGTAGTTAGAGGCGTATTGTATAGAGATTTTAAGGGAAGATAAGGAAGACTAACCTACTTTTAAAGAGGTTATAAACGAATATACGGTCTAGTTACGCTATAGGTATCCTTATAGGCTTAATAAGAAGCCTATAGCGTTATCGTTTTATACGGCGATATTCCTAGGAAAGGATAAAGATAGTAGATAGTAGCCTGCTAATTAAGGAGGTTAGTAGTAATAGGGAAAAGAGGATTCTTCGGTAAGGGAATTTATCTACGATTACGTTAAGATAGGAAGAGCTAAACGCTATTACTTTCCTTAGAGTGTTTACCCGAACGTTAATCCGACACGCCGCTAAAAGGGCTTTACGCCCGCGAAGAAGGTAGTAGAACGCTATAACCGCGTTATTCAGAGCTAGAGTGCTTCTAAGTAAAAGAGGTTTAGGGAGTATATTAAAAAGGATATCGATAAGGCGAAAAATAAGGTAAAAGAGTCTAAAGCTAAGTTACTAGAGAAAGATTAGTCTAAGGAAGTATTTAATTTCGTTAATAATAGGGAAGAGGATTCTAATAATAGCTTTTACGATAAATATTTTGCCTCTAATTCTATAGGAGAAGCAGTGGCTTTGTCGTTGGTTTTCTTGCTCTTATAGACTAAATAGGTGGTTAGTAACGACCTTTTTAACTAGTTATTAATCGATTCGGGGTCCCTAAGGTATATAACTAATTAACGCCACCTACTCAAGGACTTCTAGCCTACTACTACTATTATGTAATTTTAGATAGGTGGCGTCACCTCTAATCTAGTAGAGGGGTACGGCACGCTGCGTCTTTAGGTTAAAGATACTAAAGATCGCGCTTATACCCTTATATTAAAGAACGTGGCGTTTATAGACGGATATCCTATAACGCTACTAGCCACGTATAGGTTATAGAAGGATTAGAACGCTGTTTTTATGACCGGTAGAGATATCTTCGTAATAGACCGATATACCTCCTTACCGTTAACTAATATTAACGGCTAATATACCGTTAAAGCAACCGAGGGCATACTATAACGCTCATAGTAGCAGAGCTATTTTAATAGCTTAAGGGAACTAAAGCCTATAAGCGTGGTAGACGCCCGTTTATGGTACGAAAGACTAGGGCACGCGAACCTTGAATCGCTAGCGTAGCTAAATACGGGTTATATCGGCGGAGTGGTATCCGAAAAAGGACCTCTAGTAATCAACTGCGAAGCTTACGACCTAAGGCCCTTAACATGATTAAGGACCTTAATAATATAGCGGAGGAGCTTATCCTGCTATTATATAACGCACTTAAGATAGTAGGTAAGAAGAGTAAGCTTACTTTTAAAGCGGCTGTTTAGTAGAATATAGATTACGCTAAGAATACACGGCGTGTATTCTACTAAGCCTATAGGGAAGATATAAGATCCCCGTAGGCTATAAAAGCCCGCGCCTACCTTAGAAAGACTATCCGATAAGCGAAAGCCGTGTACCAGTAGTTATAAATCGGAGGTATTAAGATAGATAAGGACCTTTATAAGATTATAGGCTAGTATATACCACGATTATAGCTTTAGTTACCCCCTCTTTAGGATAGTAATAGAGTATTTACCGTGTCTAGTAAGAAAGCTAAATCGTTACGTAGAAGGTTACTTAAAAGGTCGATTATATCTAATAATATCCCCCCCTTTACCCTTACCTGCCCGAAAAAAACCCTCCCCTAATAAAGGGCTATTTACCCCGAGGAAGCCCGACGGGTAGTTCTATTAGTAGGAAATATATCCCTAGGCGCTAACGAAATCACTACTATAGTACTCCGCGCGGCTTAGCCCGCTATTTAATACCACACGATAAGGCTTTATTTATTAAGCCTCCTTAGACCTCGGGCACTACCCTTCCCCTTTTAGGAGAGCGAAGGTAGTTATAATTCCTGAACCGAATAGGAACGCTAGAATATATAAAGGCTAGCGACCTATCTCCCTCATTTTATACCTAGGTAAAGGCCTTAAACGCCTAATCGGATAGCGTTTAGCCTAATCTAGTATCGCCTATAGCGTTCTTCACGCCTAGGTCACTAGTATACTCCCTAAGCGATCTACCACTAATATAGTAGCTACCCTAATATATCATATAAAGATAGCCCTTAATCGCCGGAAAGTCGCTACCCTTATTATAATAGATATTAAGGGGGCCTTCGACACGGTCCTCCGGAACCGCCTCTACTATAGACTACGGGAATAAGGTTAGCGCTATAACCTTATTAGCTAGGTATATAGCTTTATAAGCTTAAGGTAAGCACGTATTTCGTATAAGGGATACACTACGGAGATATCCCCCCTTTAATATAGCCTGCCCTAAGGTTCCCCGGCTTCCCCTATCCTATTCCTGCTTTATGCTAATCGGATCCACCGAATTAGCCTAATAAATACCCGTTTTGGTTACGCTAACGACTACGGTATCCTAGTCAGAGGCTAAAACCTAAACGATACTACGAAGACCGCCTAGGCCCTGCTTAATAATATAATCGAATAGGGATACTAGAACGCTATTTTATTCGACCCGGGGAAGACAGAAGTACTATACTTCTCGCGATATAAGGAGCTATACCTCCTCAATATTATACACGCAGGACGCTAGGTCTCCCCGCCTAGTCTATACACTAGCTAAGGATCTAGCTTAATAAGACCCTCTGCTTTAAATCCTATATCGAGTCTAGGGCGGCTAAGGGTTTTTTCAATTTTTTTTTTTTTCATTACGCGCATACAGCCATAACGCTATGGTGCGGCGCCTATCGCCCTAGGGGCTAAGGCTATCGGTAGCTAGGTATAATAAAATAAGGCGTACTAAGTACAGAAAATCCTTCGTAACAATCTACCTAAACAACCTAATAAGTAAAAACCAAAGTAAGATAACTAGACCGCAGGAATCGTGGTTTACGCTCTATACTACTCCGCCGAAGCTATTTTAATAACTAAAAGATAGGCCTATAAGGCCTATATTCCTCTTTTAGTACCGAATAATAGTGGCAGAGATAGCGGTAGGCCTGCTAGGGCTTCCCGCAGGGCTCTTTATTCGTCTTTATAAAAAGGGTAAGAAAGAATAAGGTGTGCTGTATCCTGTATAGGGGAGCCGGGACAGGAATAGCGGTCGTTAGCGCAGTTTTAGGCCCTTTCTTAGTGGGTTTTTAGGTATCCGAAACCGGTTTTTAACTACGTAAAAGCCGATTTTACCTACCTAGGGTCTTATATTAGTAGTGGTTTTCGGGAGAAACGGAGGTTATCGCGGACTAGACGCCTATATAGGCGGCCTAATCAAACTGATTTACCTAATAGCTAGGCTATATAGTCTTAGAGGAAGCTACTAACTAGGGTAATAAGCTATTAGGGGAAACCTTTCCTTTTAAGTACCTTAAGGAAGTAAGAGTAGGGGATAGTATTAAAGGCGCCTTTTTTATCTAGTTAGAGTATTAAAGTGGTGCCGCTATAGCTATGCCTAGCTCGCCCTTAAGGCCTCCGTAACTTTTTCTACTATTATTTTTATACTTTGCCCGGTTTAGTTACTTATTTATCCCTCCGGGAGGAGCTAATACTCCTCCGTTATAGTGACGATACGCTTAGCTAGTATTCCCTTAAAGACCTTACCTATTATACTAAGGAGTAATATTAGTTATTATCTCTTTACTATATTATAGTTAGCTAGCGGCTAACCTTCTTTCTTAAGTACTAGTAATATAATAATACCTTTTCGGGTAATAGCCTATTTCGAGGTATACTATAAAGATAGTACTTAGTATTTAATATAAAGGGGGTTTATATACTTTAAGGAGCCCTGCTAGGAGCCTATTAAGTCCTAGTACCCCCTAAGGGTTAGTCTTCTTAAAGCACCCTTATATATCTGCTATACTAATATCGCGGCGGATAATCCGGGGGGAAACTCTACGCCTAAAGGCCTAAGGGCGGTAGGGTGAGGGAGGGGGAAGAACTTACGGTTAAGGATTTCGGCTTTCTCCGCGTATATAGTAGCTAGGTTATTATTATCGTTATAGTATAGTAGCGGTATTAATATAGGGGCTAGCGGTACTCTCCCTTTAATTCGTGTCTATTTATATAATCGCTAAAGAACGTTATCGTTCTTCCCGGTTAAGTAAAGTAAATACATACCGCTTATATAGTCGCTTCGCTACTATTACGGTCTTATCTCGGCACCTCTCCGCTTTGTAGAACTTATTCTATCGGCTCCGGGACTTCCTGGCTATATATTTATAGTAAAGACGCCTTACTTCCTAAGTAAAAGCGGTTAGCTCCGTATTCTATTAAAGGGTAGGTAGGATGCCGGGGGTATTAGTATAGCGTCGCGGTGCTACCCTATTAGCTAGGGCTATAAGGTTATCGATTAGGGTATTAAGTGCTATATCGATCTCTTTAGCTATTATAAGGGGGCTAGCCTAGTAGTATAGCTATACGGCAGCGAGTTAGGGAATCTATAAAAGGTTACAATCCTTTTAGACCTACCTAGGCCGGTCCGGGTCCTATAACGGTATCGCTGCGGTATTTATTACTATATAGATTTAGGCTATCCATAAGTAATAGTCCAATCCGATAATAGTCTTATCGGGGCCGTTATAGTCATAGCGGAGCCTCTATATTACCTATATAAGGTTAATAATACTAGCACGCCGGCTTAGGCGGTGCTATATAGTAATTCCGGGTAAAGTAACTAAGTCTAGATTCTAACGGATTATAAGGTTAAGGAGGGCGTTAGCCTAAGGGTAATACCGTAGTAGCTAGGACTAAACGGGGTAGTATAAGATAAAGTCCCCCATAAGTATATATTAGCCCTATAGCGGTACTATATTAAGTATATCCTATAAGAGCGTATTCTAGGGTATCCTAGCTAACTATAGTTCTCGGAGTAGATTTAACTAGATTATAAGGGCGTTATCTCCGGTGCTAAATATAACCGTATAGGGGTTATAGTAGGCCCGCTATGTCCACTTATATAGCGGGTATCTTTTATATATATAAAGGAGGGCGCGGCCCCCTCCCTAGACTAATTGGTATACGCCTTAGGAGGGGTAGGCTAGACTTTTCGTGAAAGGGTTAAGGCCGGGTTCCTAAATCGTTATCATATTATACTTAGCGCGGTACCGGAGCGGGAGCTCCCTCCACGCCTAACTCCTCCCTTTATTCTATAAAAGGATATAGATACTTATTAATTAAATTAGGGGGGG